TTTTGGGTTTTTTTTTTTTTTTTTTTTTTTTACTGTTTTTCTGTTGTCTTCAGCACAGGTAGTATAAGGTTATGTTACTGTAGAACCACAGTGCCCATCTTGCCAGCAGTGCCCCCCAACCCCATACTCTATAGCTGGGGGCTGAGCCTTTGCCTGGTCTGGGGCCAGACCCCTCAGGGTGCAGCTTTAATGTTCAGTATTGGGGAGGCCCCTGGGGGAGCCTGGTGCTGAGCCAGAAGCGGCTCCCTGGTGCTTCCGTCCTAAGCCACCACTCCCCACCCCTCCTTGCCTGCACACACACCCCCTACGCTCTTCTGCCCCCTCTGCCCTTCCCCTGAAATAGTCCCTGGCAGCTGTGATCCCAGAGCAGGGCGCACGTCCCTCCCATGTGGGCTCTACCCCAGCTTTTACAGTCTGGGCCTTGAACCCTTTATGATTGTTTTCTTTAGATGAGTGGGCTCAGGGCCAGCACCCTGTCTCAAAGATGCCAAAATGAGCCTAGTTCTGGATGAGCTAGCTGGTGGGGCTCAGCCTTAGGAACACACTGCTGCTCAGATCCTAAGGCACTAAGCCCCCAGATGTTCACAGGCCGAGGCCCTGAAGGCTGGTAGAACAGGAGCCATGCCCTGAAGTTCCTGAGAGGGGCCCTTGCAAAAGGCTTGTGCTTTAAAGCCTTTTTCAGGGCTTCAGGCTTCCTTCTGCTGTGCCCACCCACTCTGGTTAAGGGGGTGGATCATGGACACAGGGTAGGCCCTGATACCATGGGTTTCAGGCTACTTACCACTTTTCTTATAGGAGCATAGGAGCCGATGAGGCAGGGGAGAGAGGGCTGGTCCCTCCTTTCCTCTCATCTTCCCTCAGATGTTAAACTGTCTCCAGCAGTGGAAGGCCAGCAACTGTGAATCCCGTGCTGTGTATCCTTCCTGAGCCTCTGCTCACTCTCAGGGCCAAGAAGCTCCCAAAATGGGGCCCTCTCTTTAGAGGCGGGGCCATAATCTGAGGAGCAGTGCTGGATTACAGGCATTTTAGTAAGCAACGATTAAACAGGTTCTGGCTGCCTGTTGATGCAATGAGGTCTCCTAATTGGGTACAGTGAGAAACGAGCTAGAAGAACCCTGGCCCAGAAGACTGTGCTTGCTCCAGTAAGTCACAGTGACCCTGGGGGTGATGGCCTTGTGTTGAGGGGCCACTGGGAGTTGGTGCCCAAGCCTCTCCCTGTTTTCTCCCCAGGTGGCACTGGAGCCTCTTCCTGCCCTCAGCCTGGGCCTTCCCCAGTGGTGGTAAAGATAAGCATGATTCTTCTCTCTTCAGCTCTTTTCAGAGGCATCCTGCCCACAGTGCCCAGTCCTAGGGAGCCCCCATCAGGTGGCCAAGACGATCACTCATGCAGCTCTTGGGGAACCAAACACCAGCGCGAAAATAAAGCTGAGTGACGGAGTCCTGTGCTCTGTGGTGAACTGCGCGGCAGGCTGCGGTGAATTACTGCATCCCCAGCCCTAGGAGCCTGCGTTGCTTCTCACGCTTCATTAAAGTTATCGGGCACGTAACAGTCTAAAGTCCCCGCCAAAGACAGGGCTGGAAGGATAGGTAAAACCAGTGGGCCATTTCCCTTCTATTCCTTGGGGCTGAGAGCTACAGGGGCCTGCCGTCCCCTCTTAGGACTGTTCAGCAGACCTACCACTGCTCTTCTGGGCCCAGAGGGATACCGGAGCTTCTGGCTAGCCCTTCTGTGCCTGGCCCAGTTCACACTTAGCTCTCCACAAGCTGAACTGCTAAGAAAGACTTTATTAATAAGGTGGGGAAGGGAGAAGGCAAGGAGCCTGGAGATGGACACACTGGTACCAGGGGTTACAAACAGTAAGAAACACTTTATTATAACTTTACAACATATAAATAGCTTGGGTCAAATCTGTGCTTTCTGGCAGCTGGGCATCAAGTCTCCTCCCCTGTAGGCTCCTGCCTTCCTTCACATTGCACTGTTCATTGGGTGGCTCTGGCCGGCCCTGGGGCCGGTGGTAGAGCTTGGAGAAAAGGGGCCGGGCAGCCCAGTTCTGCTCTCCATCTCCCAGTGTGGTGGCCTGCACCTGTCATCTGCTTGGGTTGCGGCTGGTGTGTAAAGACCGCTCCTCAGGGGTCAGACCAGCAAAGAAGGGATGCAGCAGGGCCTCCGCCAATGTGATGCGCTGGGCAGGGTCAAATTCTAACATCCGTCTCATCAGGTCAAACAGCTGCACGTGCTCCGGAGAGTCTTGGAGCATATAACTCTGCTCAGGGACACAAGGTGTCTCAGTGTGATGGCAGGGTTGTGGGCAGCCACGGCAGGTCCCCTTGCCTCTGGGAAGCCCTGCCGCGTGGCTGAGGAGGCAGGGACGCCTCCCTGGAGGACTACTTCTCCCCTCCTGGACAATGAGCAGCTCTTTTCTCTTTGTGCCTCTGTAATAATGTTTGCTCTGAACTTGTCAGGCTACTGGGTGTCTTGCTGGCTTGGTGACTCTGCCCCCACGTGCAAAGTTCTGACAGGTGGGTAGAAATCACCTCTGTGGAATTCACTTGTCCAAGCACCAAATGCAGTTGACAGAGGCTTCCTGGCCATGCCTAGGTCTTCCCTACCCCTCACCTCAGTCCTGCCTAGTTCTTCCCAAAATTGAGAGAAGGTGGGGCAGGAAGTAGCACGGTCTCTGCCATCTGGCTCTTCTGGTGTGTGTTCCCCAATTACATTCACAGCCACCCTGTGGGGAAGGGGTAGAGCTAAGGGCCCCTCTGGGGCAGTTTGCAGGAAGCCCCACTGCCAGCACCCAGCAGCCTTAGGCACAGCCTCCCGTAGGGCCGGAACCAGGAGGCAGCCTGTAGCTGCCTGGCCTGTCTCTCTGCTGCGTGTCTGCCCAGTGCCTGGGGTCTCCTTGGCATAAGTTGAGCTGGGGGAAGCCAGAAACTGACCTTAAGAGGTTTGCAGTTCTCCTTCACATACCGGCCGTCAGAGCTGTTCTCATCCCAAACCAGGCCCCCTTTGTAAAAATATTTCTGCTTCCTGAAAACAAAGGACAGGAAGGGTCAAGTCTTAAAACGGGAAAGACAGTGGCAGCCTGAGGAATGGCAGCAAAGCAAGGCAGGGGGGATCCTGGCCTGACCCAGCAGGAAGGTCTCGGCAACAGGTTTGCCAGGTCACTCCAAGATGGGAAAGGCCCCTAGGCCAGGCCTGCGGGAGCAACCAGGACTGCTTACCTGGTACGGTGGATCATGTGTGATGGGATGGGCCCTAAGATCTTCTCCATCATCACCAAATGCTCTCGGTTTTCGTGGGTCTGTGGAAGGTCAGGGACACAGCAAGTGGGGGTCAGTGCCAGCCTCTGCCCCCTTAGAGTCCCTCAGGGAATAAAAGACAAAATAGATGGGCAAGTTCCCTTCCTGCCCCAGGAGATACAAACCCACCAATGGAGTAGCAGTCCCAGCCTTTCTGACCTGGTGGGAGCCTGGGACCAGGGATGAGGCCAGCCTGTTCTCTCAGGGTCACGGTCAGACTCCTTGACCCTTCAGGTGCACTGCATAACTACACACCTCTTTTTGGCTACGTTCCTCACTCTCTCCCCAGAAGGTGCCCTGCCCCAGCCAATCTCCATGCCCTCACTCATGCGGTGCCCCTTGCCTGGAATGCTCACGCCTCCCACCCCAATCCTCCATCCTTGATGGCTGAGCACAAGAGTCCCTGAGTGTTCCAGCTACCCTGACCTCTTCCTTCCCCTGAGCATCGACAACCCTCAGGAGACAACCTTACAACATGCTGACTGGTGGGCAGCAGTCCCACACTAGGCCTCTGCAGCCTGTCAGAGTAGCAGTGCTTAGGGTAGTGGGGTGATGTGGGAGAGGCCTTACCTGGAAGAGTGTGAAGCCCCGGTAGTACTCAAAGAGAATGCAGCCAATGCTCCAGACGTCGCAGGGCTGTGCCCAGCCCAGCTCTGAAAGCCAAGATGGGACAGGCTATGAGATTCAGCCCTGTGCTCCCAGCCTAGAGGTCACAGTGCAGCTACCACACTGCCTGGCAAGGCTCCTGCCCCAAAGCCAGTAGAAGTCTCTTTCTTGATAAGGCCAAGTCAACAGCCATAGTGCCTCAGGACACTGGCCTCAGGTGGTGGACAGGCACCTCACTCCCTGTTTATACCCTCCCAACAACTGCCCGCTTTATCAGTATTGGGAGCTACACAGTCACTCACCCAGGATCACCTCAGGCGGGCGATAGTGACGGGTGGCCACAATGGTCGTGTGATGCTCGTGGTCAAAGGTAGCACTGCCAAAGTCAGCCACTCGGATGCTGGTGTTCTTCACCGACTTCTCCTCACAGCTCTGAAGGGCAAGGAAGGTGAGCCAGGTCGAGTCTGTCCTGGTGGGTAACACACCCCTCGAACAGGGCCTCAATCTTTCCCCCCACCAATACCTTGTGCTCATTGTAGAGAGTTTCAAACTCAGAATTCACAAACAGGATGTTCTCTGGCTTCAAGTCTGTGTGGGTCAGTTGGTTCTCATGTAGAACTGGGGAAGCAGGAGAGGAGGGAAGCAGACACTGAAAACCTGGGCTTCCTCTCTGGTGCACCTGCCAGCGCTAGGCCAGCTCCCTCCTCCAAAGCCAGCCTGCCAGAGCCCCTCACAGCCCCTAACCTCAGCAGTGGGCCAAGGGAGCAGACTGAACTGCCTCTGTACTGGCTTCCCTCTCTAGAGTTCTCTGTGCTTAGGGCCTTGGAAGGTTCTGATTCTTGAGGGGGCAGGGGAAACTTTTTCCATTTATAAAACCTCCCTCCACCTGTCTGCAGGGGACCAGGCCTCCTCAACCTGTCTCTCACCAGAGCTGCGGCATCAGCCTTGGGGTGGTTCCCTCTCCCCAACACCAGCTACATAATTTGCAAAGCCCAGGGCAAAATGAAAATGCAGGTCGTCTTATTCACAAGTTAAGAATCTCAAGATGGTAGCAGCAGAGTATTAAACCAAGCACAGGGCCCCCTACGAAGCACAACAATGAAGCCAGTCCTGCCTCTCCTCATCCCCAGCCCCGAGCGGGGAGAAGTCTGCCTTTTTCCTCCAACTCCTGTCCCACTGATGGTGGTACCCTGCCACTCATCACTTTTCCCATCTGGCACTCAAGACCCTCACAATGGTGTGGCCCATCTCTCCCAACATGGGCCCTCTCTTCACCAGAATGAGTTGCAGCACATGCCAGGCTCTGGGCCGTCGCTGAGTGCTCACGTAGCTTGGAACACTCTCCCCTGTCCCGTCATCGATGCAGACCCTGTCGTCTAGCTCTAGGTCTATCCACCTCCTCTCCAACGAGCCTTCCCGACCTGTTCCAACCACTGCCAATCCTGCAGTGCTGAGCACAGGCACCACCAGATATGCTCTCAAAGGCTGGCAAACAGATGGCAAATGACGGTGAGACAGAGGGTGTCTATGTTGACAGGACCTGTGGCTGGGACCAGCCAGGTCACTCTTTGACCTCTTCATCCTATGCGGGAGAGTAGGAACCGGGGTGGTACGGGGCTAATTCTAGAGCAGCTCTTTCATTTTTCCCGAGTGCCTGGGGGCAGACCCAGCTCAGGAGGCCCCTGGAGGGGACTGCAGCCTCTCCATCCTCACAGATTCCTACCTGAAGGCCTTTCAGCCAAAGGGGCCCTGGTGTCTCTGGCCCAGCAGAATAGTTAACGATGTGCTAGAGCGAATGATAGAGAGCAGGACCACCAGGTGACTCTGCTGCAGATATGTGGCCGACCCATGCTCCATTTGAGGGCGGAAACTTACACCTAAGGGCGTGGCAGAGCTGGTAGGCCATGTGCCGGACATGTGGTAGAGGGTAAGGCTGGAAGTTATTCTCCTTTAGGAACTCAAAGGTGTTCTTGCCCAGGAGCTCAAAGGCGATGCACATGTGACCATGGAAGTTGAACCAATCAGACATCAAGACGCACAGGCTGGAGGAGAAGGATGGGTGGGGCTCAGGGTCTGTGCTGGGGGGGCTGGCTGCCTCACCCCCTCCCCTCAGGTAACGCCAGTCCCCACTCCCTCCCAGGCCGCTGGGTCCCATGCTGGATGCAGATACACATAGAGAAAGAAAATTATGGGCACAATCCCTGCATCTCAGAGAACGAGGTGGAGTAACACCAGTACACTCCACAGAACAAGCATTGCTTTTTTCCACTCCCTCAGCTGAGCTTCCTGAGATCCTGCAGGGCTCAGCGCAGTGCTTGGAGGGGGAATGCTCAGTGTCTGTGTGCCAAAGGTGGCTCTCCTTTGGATATCTCTGACTACACGAGAGCCCCAAACAGCTTTGGGTTTGTATCTTGTCTAATGCCCACCACAACCCAATGAAGCCCCCAATTCACAAACTCAGGGCGGGGAGGCCCGCCTCAGAACACAGAACTGGTTGTGGTGGAGCCTAGACTGAAATCCAAAGGTTCCTTCCAGCAAGACTCACTTGCCAAACTCCCCTGGCTCTGGCTGTCGGCAGAAGGCACAGTGCCAACCAGGTGAAAGGGCACTGCTCAGCCCCGGCCCCATTGGGCCCAGGCAGTTGGGGCTGGAGTGGACACTGCCCCCTAGGAAGCTTCCCTCCCATTCCTTGCCGACACTCACAACTTGTTCTCTTTGTCCTTCTCCTTGATTTTTTTGAGAACATTGATTTCTAGCCGGGCGGCCTCCCGGTACTTGCCCACGTTGCGGATGATCTTCAGGGCAACCTGAGACTTCCCTCTGGACCAGGGAAGGAAGCAGAATTTCTCATGAGAAGCTGTGCAGCCCTCCCCCCACCCGCTGCCCCAACCCAGCAACTCCTGGCAAACACTACTCAGGACTCCAGGAACAGGGCCTGCCCTGAAGGCAGCAGATTCTTGATGCCCAGCCTACCCCTTGTAACACTAGTCTTCTACCCTCATAACAACAAGTTGCTGTTGGCATCCGTGCCAGTCTTAGGCTTTTATGATCTCAGCCACTGCCAGCTCCCGGGGACATAGGCAGAGGAGTAGAGCCCTATCCTGCTGACCAGCGCCAGCCCTAGAGCTCACTCAGTAACCCAACCTGTAGGCCAGTCCGTTGATCCTGGCCAGGCGGTCCCACTCAGAACCCTCTGCGGCACCTCCTGACCTTCCAGAGCACATCTACAAGTCTGGGCAAACTGCTCCTCCTGGGATTCCAGGATGGAGTGAGGGCCTGGCAAGAGGGTAAGGGTCCCGGCAGCAGGCTCCTCTCCCTGGGAACCCCAGGGCCAATCCCTTTAGCACACCACCCTGGCCCCACCTGCCTGCCTACCAGCCACAACATTTATCAGAGACCACTGACTGCCAGGAACCTTTGTTCAGTGTCCATGAGGATTTTAATAATTCCTGCTCCACACCTCCCACCCTTACCCCCAGCACCAGCCCTGTAGGCCACTTGCAGAATCTCAGCAGAGAATATCTGCTGAGGTTAGCCTGCTAGGCCCAACTGCTGTCAGGAAGGAAAAGCCACAGTTCAGATGCTCAGGGGGAAACTAGAGTGATAAGCACTGGCCCACAATGGTGTGGCCTCGAAGCCTCTGGGAAGCTGGCCTTGGTGCCTGAGGAAAGGTTTACAGGCCCCAGGGCAGAGGCATCTTCTATAGAACACCCTGCTTTTCTCTCCCTATCCCATTTTCCCAGATTTTCAGGGCGGGGAAGAGGACCTCAGAGGAAAGACCACCACTCCAGCCTTCTAGAACAGGATCCCTCAAGGGCATTCCGACCCTCGACACAGGGAGCTCGTCACTTCCACACAACTACTGCCAGGCTTGGACGGCCCTTCCTTTTGCTGAGCTGAATTCTGCCTCCTCACAACAAGCCCACTGGCCAACTCCCTCTGGACTCCCTATAGGTCCCCTAAGCCCTGTGCCTACCCATTAGTGACTTCAAAGGCTCACTTTCCATCTAGGTACTCAGAGTGACACAGCCCAGAGAGCCCCCATGTGGCACAGCTCTCAGATCTGCCACACCTCTCTCTCGTCACTGTATAGTCTACATGTCCCTATGCCCACTGGTCCTGGCCCTAACCTCTTGGGCCACACGGGGTCTGAAGGGTGTTTAAATGGGAACTGGGCGCCCAGGGAGGCTTCCTCAGTGATAAGCACTACCTTAAACTGGGGCCACATGGCTGGCTGGGCTGCTGGGCCTAACTGTCCTCTCCAAGCAACCCTCTGAATCGAGCACAGCGGTACCCGGCTCCTCCATTCAACAGCTGGGCGATACATTCAGACCCCAAGCGTGTTTCTTCATCTCTAAAGTAGCGCAAGTCACATACGGGCAGCATGTGGCTCAAATGAGACAGCAAGGACACAAGCACTTTCTGGTCAAAGCGCCAAACCAAAGAGAGGGCCATTAAGGCGGGAAGGCAGTGGGCTCCCAGGAGGTAGTCTCCCAGCCTAAGGTAGAGGAGGCAAGGCTTCTGGTCTTGAGAAATGGCAAGGGGACAGAAATGTTTTTCACTGCTCAGTCTAGAAGGGAGCAAGGTACCCCCAGGAGCACCCCTACACACACGGGTGCACCCTTGCTCTACCTCGGCACACTCAAAGGGGCCCAACCCCAGCTACACTGGAGAAAGCAGCAGCCTGCCTGGTGAGAAAGCCCAGGGTCTTCTCTCAGTGGGGGCCTGCACGGCCTCTCAGGCAGACCTCCAGAGGGTGAGGGCTCATGCTTGAGTCGGGCTCAGCAGTACTCTCAACCCCCTGCCAGGCCCAGACCCTAAGAGATCACAGGAAGCAGATCCAGACCACGGAGGAGCCAGGGCCTTGCCCTGTTCTGATATCCGCAACCACAGTCCTGGGGAAGTGGGGAAACTGGGACAGCGCCATTCACTGACCAGCAGTTCTTGGGCAGAGATGCCACATGCCTATGGAATCCCAAGAATTTCTCCCTATTTCAGGGGATCAGCACAACCCCAATATGCACAGGTCAGAACCCTGCTTTGGTGTTACCCTTCAAAAAGAAAGACGTTAAGCTCTGCCACCACCTTCAAGAACCTCAGGCCAACTCTTCCCAGGAAGATGGCTCACCTGGCATGGTCCAAGCACTCCACCACCTTGCCAAAGGTGCCTTCACCCAGGTTCCCCACGATCTCATCTAGGAGAGAAAAGAAACAGGGCATGAGGATACGGAGGACAGAGGATCGGCAGCTCCTGCAAGTTCACAGCATTCAAATTCTCAAAAACAAAAAAGGTTTCTCTCTCACTGCTACACTCTTAAAAACGGAAGTTGCTAGTGTCTGTGTCATTCAGGCAATTACTGGTGGCCCCGCTAAGGCGCCACGCGCACTAGAGGCCCCTCCAGGCAGGAGAGGTCTCGTCTAACAAGGGGGATAGAAAGTAGAGAGGTAAAGTTTTACGAAAGGTGGCTGTACATCGCTCTTGGAGCCAATCGCCGATCCGGCACACCAGGTGGCCCTCCTTGTCATCTTCCACACTCCGGCTGCTGCGCTTACTGCTCTGTTGGCTTCTCTGCATGCACCGCCCCCCGAAACGCCATCCGACCAATCGCATGGTAGGCGGTTCCGATTGACAGATTGAGGTGTCAGTCAAAGGCAGAGGTGGAGACGGTGAGGAGCCGGTGGGTTGGTTGATTGGATTTTCCAGATCCCAGCATTTCATAAGGCACACAGCATATATAACGATAGGGATATTGCAAGGGACACGTCAAGACACAAACTGACTTCAAAAACAGAAAAGTAAAAACAGCTACAGGTATGTAAAGAAAACTCGGACATTATCTAAGAGAAGGGCGCCACAAATGCTCAGAAAGACAACCAGCCTCTGCTGCTGAGGGGCTGCCGTGTAGAGAGTCACAGACCTGACTCCCTCCTCCACTGAGTCTCCCCCTCCCGGGCCCTCCCGTGATGGCTTCGGCCAGGGTGGAGACGCAGTGAGAACGGCGCAAGAAGATGGCTGGCCCAGCCTGGGTCCGATCATCCAGAATGGTCAGAGGCCACTCTGGCTGGCTTCAGCTGCAGAATGCCCAGCCTGTCCTTGCCTGCCTCTGTTCGCCCACGCAGTCCTGCACACGCCCGACAGCTGCCACCTGTCCCTAGACGGCATCCGTGGCCAGACTTAATTAACATCACCAGCAGAAACGGCCTTCCGTCAGCAGCCCTTGTGCCACCAGCCTCGAGCAGGGAAGGAGCCCTGGATCCTCTGGGCCAGTCGACTCTCCAAGGCCTACCACCACGATGGCCCACACAGGCCCCAAGCCAGCTCCTGCCCTGGCCTTGGCATCTATGCTACTCACAGGCCAGGCCCGGCCCATCCTGAGCCTCATGACGACAGAGGGTACCAAAAAGAGAAGAAGCAGAGCCACAGACCTGCACTACCATCCTGTGGCAGTGTGCAGAGAGGCCACCGGGCCATGCCGGGTGCCCAGTCAACCTCAACCCGTGGCCACTCAAAGAACCACGGGAAAGCTCGGCAGAGAAGACGCCTGGCCCCCCTCCACTGTTGCACCACTACTCCTCAGGGGCCTCACGGCCGGGAGCGAGTGAGGGAGCGAAGAGAGCTGGGGAAGAGAAGACAGCATATACCCTCAGAGATACACAACTGGCCTTCCTTCCCAGAGGTCTGAGCACAGTGTGGTTTCCTGGTCTCAGCAGAGACCCTTCTGTACAACCCTTCACATTAAGGATGTTTCCAGGCCCTGCTCTGGGCATGTGGCCTGCAGCTGGACAAGGCCTGGAGCTGCGGGCCTTTCTGCCATTTCTTCACATGCCCCACCACACAGGCAGCTCATCCCCCTTGCCTTGACTGCCCCTCACGTGAAGAGGCTAGGCTGCAGAGGACCTGACTGGAGGTCAGAGAGAAGGTCCCAGTCCAAGCTAATTGACGGGCCCTCCCCTACCCGTGGGCACTCCAGCCTCCGGGCCTTTGGTGAGGGGCGTGGAGAAGAGACTGCAGAGGTGAATGCAGTCCATACCAGTCGGAGCACTCAGCTGTGTGTGGGGGGGCAATCTCTGGGTGGGGAGGACCAGGCCATACAGCCCCAGACCACGTACCAGCAACCCTATTAAGGATTCTGAAGAAGTGTCTCTGGCTACTTGCGCATGTGGCCTGTCCTGGAGTGGTGTGGAGACACAGACAGGCTGGGGACCAGCCAGCGCCGGAACCAGAGCCCCTAAGTTGCCACTGCCCATGGGCCAGAAGATAGAGGAGCCGGGCCCCTGCCCAGCCCTGCACCTGGACCAGACAACACATACACACACACATGCAGGCACACCAAATGCACGTGCGCAGGGCTGGCAGTACTCACCCAGACCAGCCAGCCTGAGAGAAGGCTAGAAAGAGACGAGGCCTTTAAGCCCCAGCCAGCACACTCTGGCCACCACTCACCGAGGAGGCGCTGCTACAAGACCTGGTGCGGCGTTTGTGGCAGTGGTGGGCATGCTTGCGGGTCCGGTATGGCTCCCTTTCCCGTGACCGCCGACGATGATGGCAACGTGAAGGTCCATAGTAGTCCTCTCCAAAGGATGGGCTCCGCTCTTCACACCGGTATGTGTCACTGTCACGGTGCTCCCGGTATCTCCTCTGGTAGGGCAGGCGGTCATGGCTGCCAAGACCAGGATAGGGACACTGGTCAGAGCTTCCTCCCACCAACCGGGCTCCTGCTACTAATCAAGACTCATGTGGTGGGGCCCCTGCAAAGGGCTCACAAGGGTAGCCTGTGGGAGCAGAGGCGTCCAGAGTCCTAGGGGAAGTGCGGTGGCGGGGGGGGAGGGCACGTGTGCGTGAAATCCAACCTCCAGAACCTCAGTTCCTGACAGCACCCTTCCAGAGCCACAGGAGGCAGAGCACTGGGAAAGGTGAGCATGGTGGAGAACCTCTGAGGGTCCCCCATCCCAGAGCTCTCTGTGGCCTGCAGAGACTGTTATTTTGGTCTGGGGACTGAGATAAGACCAAGGACCAATATCTGGAAAGGGCTGAGGTTATGTTCCCAATCCAAAATGAGGAAGGCTCAGAGGTTAGCAGGGGAGATGCTGGCCTAGAAAACGGGGGAATGTGTCAGGAGAAGGAAGACTCAAGGACAGAGAAAGAAGGGGTGGCATGGATGGTGGCGAACTGAGGCCAGGGAATGCAGGGGAATTGCAGGTGGATCAGGGGAAGAGCCTGAAGAGGACAGGGCAGGGATCAATGTGCAGCCGGGCAGAGGTGGCAGTCACCTGAAGAGGCCCTGGGCTGCCACAAGCCTCCAGGTTGTCTCCCTAGCCCGGAAGTGGGAAAGAATCCTTTCTTCCGACCTAGTTCCCTCTCACCTTCTAGACCGAGATCTCCGGGGCGGAGGCTCCCTTCGAGAGGGGTATCGCAGTCTCCCTTCATGCTCCCGACTGTAAGACCTCCTCCTCTTCCATCGGTAGCTCAGGTACGGGTCTGGCTCAGGGGAGCGGTATCGCTTACAGTGATGCATCTAGGCCATGAGACATAAAAGCCCTGCTAAACACGCAGCCAGCCACAGGGCTGCCCGGGCAGCCTAGGCGCTCCTGAAGAAGAGGCCCATTGTTCTGTTTGGGGGCAGCCCCTCCCAGGGGTTTATGAAGTGAAGAACTCTGAGGTCACAATAGTCAAACAGCAGACAATGGGTAACACCCTTCTCCACCAGAGAACAAACAAGCAGCTGCCTCCCCAGCACAGCATCATTGGCCTGGTGGCCTGAGCACTCAGGGAACCTGGAGAGCCAGGACAGGTGCTGAGGCAGAATGCAGGGAGGGGCTGGTGAGCACCATCACAGGAGACCAAGGCCAAGTAGAAAGGGAGCCTCCTGTGCTCAATTCCCTCCTGCCTGTCTGTAGGGTCCTATGAAGTGCCTGTGCTGTCGAGCCAGAGGCCAGAGTCAAAAGGCTGCTGGCAGGGAGCCAATACACAGGAGCAAGGGGTGAAGGCCCTCGAGTTTGAGAAGCCAAGTTGCCTGGCTGAGGCCCTGAACTGTACTCTGCTCAAGGACCACAAATCAGTGTGAGGAGCCACAAGCAGAATCGAGAATACCAGCCCTTGGACAAAGAGGGTCCCACAAACATTCCCTAGCCTACCTGAGGGTCTGGCCAAGCAGACATGGGGGTCTATCCAGCCCTTGTTGGTCTACAGTCAGTCCTAGTATCTGTAAAGATGCCAGGGTCTTCAGAGCAACCAAGTCACTTGCCCGAGGCCTATTTAGCACCCGCAGACCACCTGCCACTGGTGCCATGCCAGGCAGTGCCTCACCTCCAACAGTACCATTACCGTGCCCTCTTCTAGATTCCCTGCTCCAGTATCCTCTTCTGTGCCCATCTCAGGAGAAGGCAGAAGGCTGGCTGACTGGCAGGCTTTGGGCTCAGGGAGGCAGGCCAAAAGGGCCCCACCTCACTATTCCTGGTTCAGTAGGGACTTACACCCACCACAGAAAATTGCCAGGTTGGATCAGCCATCAGCTGAGAAAGATGGCTATGTGAGGCCAGCTCCCTGTTCCACCCAAACCCCAAACCCTGACACTGCCTCCACAGGAGGGCTGGGCCAGAGACCGTAGCCAGCCTTCCTCCCAACCCTTCACTTGGCCATAGCCAACCAATGGTGGTCAGTCCTGGGCTTGCCTGATCAAGCACATTTTGGACAAATCCACTGAGGCTGTCTCATCTTATAAGAAGGGTCTGTCTGGAGGAGAACAGAATGGAATGGCTCTCCTTAAACGAGCAGGTCAGTGAGGCATATCTGACAAAACCCTTGGGAGCTTATCTGCAATCCTGAGAAAGTCACTGCCCTCAATCTCCCCGCTAGCAGCTGTCTTCTGCCCTCTACCTGGAAGCCCAGGCCACAGCAACCCTTGGAGATAAATACTCTGTAACAGCTCCTCAAGAGCTGTTCTGTTTTGACTAATATTTCACTGCTTCCCTGCAATTATGGCTGGGTCAGGTGCCTAAGCGATGGAATGAAGGCAGTATCTCACATCTCAGTAAGTGACAAGGAAGATGCTCCAATGGCCAGGACAAAGGCCCTGCCCATCCTCACTGGGCAAAGCACCAGACCTGGAAGACATGGTTTAGTCTACAGCAGGCCAAAGACTCTCTCCTGGGACCTAGATTCTTATATATGCTCATGCAGGTGGAAAGAGCACAGCTTCAGATGTCAATCTGAATCCTGGCACTGTCACTTCTAGCTTGTGCCTTTAGGCAAGTTATTAAACAAGTCTAACCTTCAATTTCCTCTTGCAATAAGGGGATAATAATCTCTTACAGGACTCTGTGCAGATTAAATTATATCACTCCTTTAAGTAACATGCCTAGTACATGCCTTTAGGTCAAAGGCCTAGCACAGGTCTTTAGGTCAAAGGCCTAGCACAGGTCTGGGCCCACAAGAGGTACTGAAGGCAGCTTTTCATTAGCAACATTAAAAAGGTTCCAGGGGGCTTCCCTGGTGGCGCAGTGGTTGAGAGTCCATCTGCCGATGCAGGGGACACGGGTTCGTGCCCCAGTCCGGGAAGATCCCACATGCCATGGAGCGGCTGGGCCCGTGACCATGGCCACTGAGCCTGCGCGTCTGGAGCCTGTGCTCCGCAACGGGAGAGGCCATAACGGTGATGAGGAAACGCTTTTGGGTGATGGAAATGTAGATCTTGATTGTGGTAGTGGTTACAGGGGTGTATGCTTTCATCAGAACTGACTGAACTTTGTGCTTAAAATGAGTCCACTTTATTGTTTGTAAATTATATCTCAATAAAAAAAAAAAAAAAAAAAAAAAAAGGTTCCAGGTAACAACTCGGGGTCTGTGTTAAATGCCCTAAGGGCATTAAGGACATTTTTAAGTCCCTTCCAAGGGACCAGAGGAGAGAGAGATCCGGATAGAAAACCCTGAACGAAATCCCAGGGCTGCCTTACTGGCCTCGTGACCTTATACACTGGGCCTTGGTTACCATACCTGGAAAATGGAGATGACACAACCTCCCAGCCAACTTGGCAAAGGAGATGATAAGTATGAAAGCTATATAAGACATCACACACAAAGCAATCATAGAGGATATAACTTCTCCTTTAACACATTCTAGGCAAGTGAAATATTGGGAATACCAGATGCTCCTCATTATCTTCCCAGCTAGGGCTCTAAGGCCCATTTCTCATCAATTATCTCCGATTCTCTGAGACCTCAGAAAATAGGTTGTTAAGATATGCTCTGGAAGGCTCTGCCTCTGCACAATGAAGAAAAAGGTAAGGTGAAGGAAACCAGGCGGAGGATGCCAGCTTTTCTCTGAGCACGGGCCTAGTCGTCTTCTCACTTGCTGGTCCTGGCCAGAGAACTGGGCTGACAAGAAGAGCAGCCAGCCAGGTCAGTGGCTGCCCTCCCGGATTCCAGCCACCCCAGCGCCCCATAGTTATTTTTGGCTGACGCTGCCCCACCGCTGCAACCTCAAACCTGCCACCTTGCAAGCCGCCACCATCGGGTGAAACGCTCCTCCTTTTCAAGGGCATGGAGGAGGGAAGCTGGAAGGCCGCCAACTCCGCCTCGACGGAGCCCTGGCTCAGGCGATTCCCACCCCAGCTCCACACCAGGACACCCGCACCCGGAACTAAAGCACAGAGATTCCCGGACCGAGGAGCAGCCCGGGCATCTGTACTGTCAGCTTGGCCGGACCCTTCCTCCGGGCTGGAGCGGATCCAGCATCACAACAAAACACGCAGGGGGCCTGAGGCCCTCGCCCGCGTACCCCCCTGACGCCTCTCCAGAGATCTCAGAGCCCCGTCCCCCGTGACCGCCGCCAGTGGAGGCGAGGGGAGACCTGGGGGAGGGGGAGGGGGAGGGGAGGGGAAGGCCAGCTTGGGCCATAATCAAACTCCAAGCCGCGCGGGGAAGAGGAGTGTGTGAACTAAGCCTCGAGCCGGGAGTAGGGCCACAGCACCCAAGCCCCCGCCCCCCGGACCCCCCGCCAGCGGAGGCGAGGGGAGACCTGGGGGGGGGGGAGGGGGAGGGGAGGGGAAGGCCAGCTTGGGCCATAATCAAACTCCAAGCCGCGCGGGGAAGAGGAGTGTGTGAACTAAGCCTCGAGCCGGGAGTAGGGGAGGGGTCTGAAAACCCCTCCAGGCTATCCTAGGTAGGACCCCGACCCCATTCCGCGGGCAGGTGCAGGGCCCAAACAGGATCCCTGCAGGGGCCTCAGAGGCCTCTTAGGCTCGGACTCCGACACGCGGGATCGAGAGGTCGGGGTCTGCGGTGACCGCCCTCTGGGGGAGAAGCGACGGGTCAGGGGTGAGAGGTCGGGTCCGCGGCCTGAAGTAGACCGAGAAGAAAACGGAAGAGAGTAGCCCGAGACCGAACCGGGAGCCTTAGGATCCACACCCAGCGCGCCCACCCCTCCGACTCACCGCCCGCCACCGCTCCCGTCGCGGCCCCGGACCCCATACTCACCGTCTCCCAGGCTCCGGCTGCAGCTAGGCCCCACTCCCCGCTCCGAGCGCCTCTTCCGCTTCCGGCTCCGGCCTCCGCCCGTGGCAGCCCCGCCCCTCGCGTGACGCAGCCGTCGCCAGGCCGGGCTCGACCCGGCTCGGCGGCCAGGCCGCTCTAGCCTTCGACTCGAAGGCTCTGGAGGACCCGCCTTCTCAGCGCAGGTCGGTGAGGCAGCTGCGGAGCCTGGTTCCGGGAGGGCCGAGAGGAAGTCCCCGGTCGCGGCCCGCCTCCCCCCCGTGTCGCGTCGCACGTAGGCCCCAAAGACGCGACGGGGGCGTCCCCGGCCGACGGCGCCGGAAACCCAAAGGTGGAGCCCCAACCCCGCCTGTTCCTGCCTGTTCCTTCTTGCGTGCCGGGAGGAGGGCATTGTTTCGCTGTCGCCCCAGTGAAAACCTGGCGGGCCTTGATGCCCGCCTGGCTCCGGGGCCCAGGAGGGCGCTAAAGATCACGGAAGGCTCGGGAAGGCTGTCCCGACTCCCAGTTATGTGGAAGAAGCAAATGAGACCTTCTTCTCTTTGTGTGGAGGTTTTTTTAAGCCGTGGCGGCAAGCCGTAGGTGCACAGCAGTTTCTGAGAAGATACCGGAGAGTCACGTAGGCGGGGCCTCTGGAGGGATGGGGTCTGGAAGAAAGGGGGGGGGGTGTCTCCTTTTCCTTGAGCATCCTTGGAGGACGGCACTAAGCGGAGCAGCATTGTTTCTCAGTTTGTAAACCCCCGCCAAACAAAAGCCCTGTGCCCCGCCGCGGGCTGACCCGGCTGCCATTTCTCCCCGGAGTCACTCGGCGACCCCTTTGCCCGGGCCGCGAGCGTGGGCTCACCAAAGCCCCGCCCACCTACTTGCCCCGCGCGTGGTCAGAGCGGAATAACGAGGCCCTGTTTCCAGATGAGAAAACCGAGGTCGGGTCCTTTGGAAGACTTCACTGTTTGTGAGGTTCCCACACTCCCCGCCCCCGGGCTCTAGTTGGCGTCGCTCAGCAAAGCGGGTGGGAGCGTCCTCTAACTGCCCCCGCGCCACGCCGGGGACAGAGCATCCCTCCAGACCCCACCCCTCCCCGGGACAGTACCGCGAGGCCTGGCCGCCAGCCGTCCCTTTCCCCGTCCCCGCCCCCGGCCCCTCCCCAGTGAGGCTGGGCACGCCCCTGTTGCGAGTCGTCACCTCCCAGTCACCCAGGCGCTGTCGGAGCGGAGCCGCCCCCTCGGGAGTTAGGGAGGGCTCTCCAGTCTCTAGCCTCTGGCTCCCCCTTAAACTGGGGTCTGACGGCGTGGCTTGAGCGGGTGCTTGGTTTCCCCCAAATCTCCGTTAGTTCCACCACCCCTACCGGAAGTAAACAACAAAAGTTAGGTAAAAACGATGCTTGCTGCACTACTGCAGCCTCAAAACCGGCTCCCGGTCCCCTTCCAACCAAGTGCATCCATTCCACCCCAGTATAGAAATTCAGCAGCCGCTTCTAGCGTGGAGTTGATGACCAAGAGCCCTGCTGTCTGTGCCCCTAGATCCCGCCCCTTTAGGCTCCTGCCTCAAGGGTGGGAGCTTCTGAGTTGCCATTCTTTCCTGGGCCCCAAAGCTTGGCCTATGGCCCGCAGCCGTACCAGCAGAGTTTCATCTAAGGGTTTCATCCACTCAGAAGAGGTGGGAGGACTCTGGTGTCTCCCCCCACCGCTTGGTGTTGCCCGCAGTTTCCATGGCTCCTGGAAGCCGCGATCGCGTCAGCAGCTGAGGGTGGAGGAGCTCAGAGAGGCTCCTGTCCCTAGCCCTGACCTGGGCACCAGGCTCTGAGGGGGTAAATCGGGCCCTCTTCCCGCTAGCCCTCCCACCATCGAGAACACAGGAGTCCCCGCCTCCCAGTAAAGAAGCAGAGCTTTCTTTTTTAGAAGTAGGATAGGCGCCATCTCCCAGCTCCCCCTCTAAAATCTTCAGTCCAGCGGCTGTCCTACCTGAAATTCTACCTTAGAGCCTCATTCTTTTGTCTCTTTGTTCCTAAAAGAACTCACACCTAGAAGAAAGAGAGGCACTTGAGAAAAGTGAAGTATGGATAATTCCCCCACCCCCAGTTCACCCCACCCCACCTCCTTCATTCCTCCAGTGCTGGATGGTTGAGACCTTGGCAACTGGTGGCTGGGGAGGTCAAGGGCCTGGACCACCTTCAGAGAAGGTTTGCTCACACCCTCCGCCCCTCAGGTCCAGGCTCTTTCTCTGGGCCTCAACCCGTGTGCCCGCCAAGTCTTTTCTGTGCTGGTTGAGGACACCAAGGAGATGCCTCTGCCCTGTGCCCTGCCACCAGCCACCTGAGCCCCACAGCAACTATGGCCCCCTTGATCTCCCTTTTGCCACCCTGTGCTCTTGGCTCAGCTCACCTCTCCCCCCCAGGCCCCACCTTCTCTGATTCCCTCCTTGTCCTCCTGCCCTTGCTCTTTTCTATCTGCCACATCCATCTTTGCCCTTTCCAGGGCAGTTAATTCACCTTCAGGCCTTAGCCCAAGGGTCGTCACCCTGGAAAGCCTTTCCGGGAACCCCAAGGAAGGGTCAGACTCCCTTCTCTCTGCTGCCACGGCACTTGGTGGCTGTGCTTCCCTCTGCGCTGGCTCCACAAGCTCAACAGCCTGACCTGTACCACTCCCCACTCCAGTAGACCATGAGCGCCCCCCGCAAACCAAGCCAGGCAAGCTCAGGGTCTCAGTAAGGGCTGGGGGCTGCCCATAGCGAGCCCCTGCCTCTAAGTGGGAAAGACAGAGCACCCAGCCAGTGTGAAATTGTGGGTGCTATGCAGGGTGTGGAAGGAGGGGGGCAGGGACTGGTCCTCATGGTCCATTTTGGAGAGGCCTTGTGTGTTGGTGAAATGGAGGGAGACAGCTCAGGAGGGAGCTACAGTAACCTGAGCCTGGAGTCAGGGGAGAGGAGAGAGTCAAGGTGTCCAGAAGGGAGAGGGCCTGGTGGGTGGTGCTACAATCCTGAGCAGGGACGGGTCTGGGAATGTGAGGAGTAGGCAGGTCAGTTATGGGTCAGTGTCCCCACCTTACAGCTGAAGCTCTGAAAGCCAGAGAGGTACTGGAGCAGTGACGTGATTTGAGGGCTTCTGACCCCCTACGTCAGAGCTAAAATACAGTGTCTCCCCAGATGTTCCCTGGCCCTGGCCATTTCTAGGCTCCCACACTGGGAAGGAGAGCAGCAGGATGGAGGAATGTGGGCCCAGTTTGCAGTGGACTGACTACCTGCGTGACTCGGGGCAACTGATTTCCCCTCTGAGCTTCAGTCCCCCCACCCCAAACCCGGGAGGATCAAATGAATCCGTGTTTGTTCAGCAAGTCGCTGGTCCATAGCACCCACAGATCATGGAATCTGTTGGAACTTAGAACTGTTTAGCGAGATTGAGGCTGGTGTTTATTTGAAATCCGAATCACCAGGGAGAATCCTGGGCGAAAGTTTGGGGTTGAAGGGTTTAAGTCCCCACTCAGCCCCAGGGCCTGTTTCCACATCTGAGGTGAGGCCTCAGAGGCTGGTGCTCTGGGAGGGCAGGTGTGCCCCAGCTCCAGGGTCTCCCCTCTATCCTGCTGTCAGGACCCACTGAGTCAGAGCCCCACAGGCCTGACGCCTGGTGCTGCCTGCTGTTCCCAGCACTCCCATCACCCCTAGCTACTGGACTGTGCTCACCCACTGAGCCCCACTGAAGGATGCAGGTGAGTGTGGGGAAGCTGGGCATGGCAGTCCCTGGGGCCTGGGCCGAAGCCTGACTGCTTTTTTCCTGGCAGGTGCTCTGACAGGGCCTCTGAGGGAGACTGGGAGTGGTCAGAGAAGAACCTGCGGTTGTGGCTGGCAGAGAGCAGGTAGCAGTGGGCTGAGCTGGCTGGCCGCCTGCGGGCAGCCCTGCAGGCCCTGTCTGAGCAAGCACAGGTGCTGCAGAAGCAGGAACGCAGGCTGGGACTCGGCAGGACCCGGTGTGAGCTGCTGGCTCCGAAGCAGAAAGTGAGGCTCTGGTCCTCTCCCCGTGAGTCCCCAACAGGGCTACCATGTTGAAAGTGTCATCTCTGTGAATGGCACCCCCTGGAGGTGTGCAGTGCATTGCCTGGTGTGGCTGGGAGCAGTGGATAGAGGCAAAGGAAGGACAAGGGAACCTCTGCCCTTCCCCTCCCAGGTAGAATAAGAGGGAAGGAGGTGGCTGGTTTTAGCTCAGTGGACAGAAGAGTTTCCTCAGAAGCCCAATCACCCCTGGTGAAGCTTCAGTCCCCAGGGAGGGAGGGAGGGTTATGCACACTGAGGCTTCTAGGGGAGGTACCCAGCATCCCTGCCGCACGTGAGTGTGGACAGTGCCACCCTGTGATGGCCTAGATACCTAAGCCTTTATGTGACCTGGTGGTCTCAGCCCACAGCTGACCCTCCTAGAGCCACTGCTCCCTACCCGCCAGGGAGGACCCTGGGAACCCAGTTGACATGCCTGCCCACTCTCCAGCATTCCACAGCAGCAGCCCCTGTACTCTTTTGTTTGTTTGTTTTTTAAAAATATATTTATTTATTTTTGGCTGTGTTGGGTCTTTGTTGCCACCGGTGGGCTTTCTCTAGTTGCGGCGAGCAGGGGCTACTCTTCGTTGCAGCGCGCCGACTTCTCACTGCGGTGGCTTCTCTTGCTGCAGAGCACGGGCTCTAGGCACACGGGCTTCAGTAGTTGTGGCGCATGGGCTTAGTTACTCCACGGCATGTGGGATCTTCCCGGACCAGGGCTCGAACCTGTGTCCCCTGCATTGGCAGGATTCTTAACCACTGCGCCACCAGGGAAGTCCTAGCCCCTGTACTCTTGCTGGAGCTCCAAAGCCATCAGGAGCTGGGCTGGAGAAGGTGATGTGTCTTGTGTCCAGCTGGAGGTGGAGGGTTTCACATCTGGAGCCAGTAATGATAACAGCTGTGCAGCTCCAGGTCCATGCTGGGCCCCCAGCTGGGCTTATCACAGCTGGTGGAGCAGGCAGGGCCTTGTGGAGTGAGCCTGCTTTATCAGGGGCTGCAGACGCTGCCCTGCCGGGGGTGGGGGATGTGTGTCATGAGGCTGGGCCAGCCCTCTCCAGGGGCTTGTGCTGCCTTCAGCCCTCCCCCCAGCAGGTGGAATGCTCTGTGGCCCGCCTGGAGCAGGAGAGGCTGTGGG